TTCTACAACCTGTTTAGTATTCTTGTAGACCCTTTTGGGACCAACAATTACCCTAAAAATGCCAAAGAGCATAAGAAAATGATAAAGAGTTGCCCTATTTTTTTTATTAGCCTAATATTAGTTTGCACGAAATCATAAAAAAATGAGTGTTTTTATAAGATGTTACACTTTGCATAACTTTAAGCTTAAGATGTTGTTTGTTTAACTCTTAATAGTTCCGTTAAAAGATAACTTTTGAATCATTAAGAGATGAATTTTGTTTGACAAAAAAATGTCTTTTAATGGTTCCAAAACACTCTAAATAATTTTGTATAATTGGTTTTCCTTAACCATTCAATATTCTAATTTCATTGTAAACGATTATCAAACAATTATATTTCATTTTGTACTATATCATGAAAGTCTCTTAATCATTCTGATCTAATCATTTTACACCAAACCATTAAACAACTCTCAAACATCCCCTAAATTATAATATTAAATAAGAATGTAAAAAGAAAATGTGGATATTAATTGTATAAGTATGGAAGTTTTAGCAACCAAAGCTAAAACAAAAGTTCAATCATGTAGCCACCAACCGACTACTACTACCACTATCTTTTAGAGTAAATTACGAATTTGGTCCCTGTGGTTTTATGTTTTTTATAAAAATGGTCCTTGAACTTCATTTATTACAAATTTAGATTCGTCGTATGTCGTTTTGTAATGAATTGGTCCCTCCCTTTAACGGCTATCCAGTTCATCCGTTAAATTTGAGGGTACAATATTTTTTATATTTTGAGTTTATTAAATTATACTTTAATATATATTAGTTATTATACTTTAAGTTTAATTTTTATATACAACAAATATGATTAAATGGACGTTTACAATATTTTTTAAATTAAAAACCTCTCTTCCATTTTAAAAAAGACAAATTAAAAACAAAAATCGAGTGAAAGAAAATAAACAATCATATCTCTCACTAATTCGACATTCATATTGATATATTTTTTTCATCTTTTCCAGTTATTGTTTATTTTATGTTGAGAGAGACAGAGAGAGTTGATTTCAGAGGAAAACGTTAAATAATTGAAAAACCAAAAAAATAATAAAAAACGGATGCAAAAATAAATCAGTGTAGTGTAATTTTTTTTGCTCGATTTTTTTGTTTGTATTTCATTTTTTTCCGAATAAAAATATTGTTATAAACATCCACTTAATTACACATGTTGAATCAATTAATCTAATAGTTGATGAAAGTAGTTTCTTTTGAACAGTTGAACCTCACTCTATATAACTATGTGTGTGTGTGAACGTGCGTACATATACGTACATAATACATATTATTTTGAAAAAAAAAATATATTACATATTAAAATAAACTAAAAGTATTATATATATATATATATAAGTTAATTAATTTAATAAACTTAAAGTGTACAAAATTAATATTTTTATTTTTTACACTTAATTACGGATTTGGTCTCTACGGTTTGTGTGAGCTTAGGAAATTGGTCTTTCGAGTAAAAACAAAAAAGGAAAGGACGAAAATACTCTCAAGGTTAACGGAGGAACTGGATGACCATTACAGGGAGGGACCAATTTGTTAAAAAATGACATACGAAGAGTTCTAATCTATAATAAATAAAGTTCAGGGACCATTTTTATAAAAATCATAAAATCACAAGGACCAAATAAGTAATTTACTCTATCTTTTATAACCTTTTACTGTTTGAAGCAAAAAGCCAACGAATGAAGGATACCAAGTTAAGGGGGTCTTTAATTCACACCACAAAAAAAGCATTAAAAAATAATAGGTTCATAT